AAAGAAAGAAAGAAAGAAAGAAAGAAAAATGGTAGAAGCACAACTGCTGTTTGAGGAGTGGAAGACCATTCTGAAGTGGTATGTGAAACTGGAAAACGTTATGGAGGCATGATGTGCAACAGAACCTCCAGCACGCCTAACAACTGCACGCTTTCATGCTAAGTCTGAGGCATGTGGGCCACGTGTGATGTGCACAAGGGAAGATTTGGGAGGTCTCACACAGCAACAAGTTCTGCTACTTCTGCTTCTTCTGGACACTGATGGTAACGACTTTAAGTACCTGTGGTAATTGCTTCATCTTTTGTTATCAGTATATATTGAGTATTGCAATTTTAATACAGGTTTTTCCCTTTCTTAAAATGTGTATACATTTTTTGGTCACTCTCTGCATATCACGGAAGCCAAACTGCCAGTTACGGAGTACAGTTGGTGCTGGGACAGGGAGAGGACTGTGCACAGAAGAAGGCGCTTGACCTCATGCAGGGTGGGGGGTGCGTGCTGAGGGGTGGCAAAGGCTCTGGTATGAAAACAGGGAAACCACACAGTAGGGGCTGAAGTGAGGTGGCTTTTCACTGAATGCTCACTTTTTACAGTAACAGCCAATGACTCAATGACAAAAAATACAAAGGAAGCTTTTTATGAAAAAATTCTACTTATGGGGCAAGTGGGGTAGAAGAGGTGGGAGGCAGCACAAAAAGGCTCAGGGAAATAAAGATGTAGTTTATACAGAAATCTGTGCACAAAACTGCAGCTTTACTGAGAATGTTACCCATTTTATTTCCTGATCTGACTGTAGCTTGACTCTGTGCACACCGTACCTCAGAATTAAACAGACTCCACCAATGAAGATTTAATTTTTGTCAGAAATTATTTCCAAAGAAATGAAAATTTCTTGCACCAATATACATCTTAAATAAACTTTTAAGAAATTTTACTTGAACTCTGTATTCTTGAACGCAGTTGTTCTGCTGTGTGTTGGTTTATAGATCCTGTTACTTTGCTTTTTGCACATCTGAGTAGATATCTCCAGCTGAGATTTAGTATACATCAAATCTTTCTGTAGTTGTTGATTTTCAGACACTAGTTTATTTAATGACTCAATATAATTCTCCTGGAGGTCTGCTAGTGAAATCTCTTTTGCCTAATAAAAAAGAATATTAGAATCATTAATTTGTATATGAATGTTGTGATCTGTGTTACTGTGGGTTGAAAAATTCCTTTCATTTTTCAGTTGTAACAAATCTATGGCTTTGAGAAAAGTAAGATTTTAGTTCTCCTAAGACTAACAGAGAAAAAGCGTTTTGTTTCTTAAGAGTAAATGGTAGTGTTAGCATCCTCTCAGTAGAGTTTTTTCAGGTTTCTGCCACTTAATACAGTCCCTGATAAGGCATGACCATAGTCCAAGTTTTCCTTTTCTCCAGTTACCCTGTCACAGGAACACAGCATGAGCACAGCAAACAGGGAGAGACTGGCTAACATTAAAAGGCAAGCAGTGTAAGGGTATTCCTGCCTTGCAAGGCAGTATATTAAGTTGTAAGCATCTTGTCCCCAAATTCAGGAAAGTAATATGGAAAAATAAGAATGAAGTCTGGCAGGAGAGGCTAGGCATGGAATTGTCATGGCTTAGAGCAAGAATATCTAGGCTCCTGCACAGCACAGGGACATCCCCTGCCAGTCCCTAGGCTAGCAGCACCCAGCATCTGGCAGATGAGTGAATCTGATTCAATTATGCTGGTCATCAAGAGCTGCAGTCAGGGCCCAGCACCTGTTGCTCAGCAGGTAGGGCGCCAGACACACAGACCAGAACTAGTGGGTTCGAATCCAGCCTGGGCCTGCCAAACAACAAAATAGGGCCAGGCACTGTGACGGGTGCTTGTAGCCCCAGCTACTTGGGAGTCTGAGGCAAGAGAATCACTAAAGCCCAAGAGTTTGAGGTTGCTGTTAGCTGTAAGGCCATGGCACTCTACCGAGGGTGACAAAGTGAAACTGTGTCTCAAAAAAAAAAAAGAGCTGCAGTCAGCCAGATGGAGCAAGGTTTTATGTCTGTAATTCACTGAGAAACTGCAAAGTGGTGAAACACGAGAATGTGTTTGCCTCAAAGTACAATATGACAAATCAAGTCAAGGCTGACACTCCCCGTCCTATCCCAGTCACCATGGAGATGTGACCATGCTCAAAGTGGTGGTTTTTTTCAGGTTTTTGGTGACCATGAAAAAAAAAAAAAAAGAATTTTTAGGATACACTACGTAAGTCAAAGGAAGCAGCTTTTATTGAAAGTAAAAGTGAGAGAAATGCTCTCTAAAGAAAGCTGATGTCCAAAAGGAAGTGGTTTTTGTTCCTATGAAGTTGCACTAATTGAGGGGAGGAATATTCAAGGCGAAGGGGTTAGTTTTTACTAAGAATTTGAGCACTAATTCCTAGAATTGGGTTTCCTCTCACTTTTAACAATTGTGATTGCAAGTGCTGAGAAATTTTAAAACTGCAATGCAAATGGTAATGTACTGAGCTACTTTATGTAAGGTGACCTAGAAAGCTGACAAGCTGGTTGAAGCTAGTTTTTGTAAGTGGTTATGAGTCCTCACTTCCCTGCTTAGACTTTTTTTTTTTCAGACAGTCTCATTATGTCGCCCTCAGTAGAGTACCATGACATCACAGCTCACAGCAACCTCAAACTCTTGGGTTCCAGCGATTCTCCTGCCCTAGCCTCCCAAGTAGCCGAGAATACAGGCACGCACCACAACGCCCGGCTATTTTTTGTTGCAACTGTCATTGTTGCCTAGCTGGCCTGGGGTGGGTTCGAACTCACCACCCTTGGTGTACGTGGCCAGTGCCATAACCACTGTGTTATAGGCACTGAGCCCGGTTTTTTGACACATGGTCTCACTCTTTTGCACAGAATGATCATAGCTTCCTGCTACCTTAAACTCCTGGACTCCAGTGACCCTCTTGCCTCAGCCTCCTGAGTAGCTAGGACTGCAGGCACCGCTACCATGCTCAATTAGTTTTTCTATTTTTTTTAAGAGATGGGGTCTCACTATGTTGTCCAGCCTGAACTATTATCCAGTACTGAACTCCTGGTCTCAAGTGATCCTCTTACTGTAGCCTCCCAAAGTGTGGAAGTTCAGCATGAGGCACAATGCCCAATCCAAGAGTGTTCTTATATGATATGTGTTCTTATATGATATGTACATTTAGACAAGTTAAAGCAGGATCCAAGTACATGGTAGGAACGACTACCCTGAGTTGGTCTTAGTTTTTTGATTATAAACTCTATTGCTCTTCAACTTGAGGTGTTTCCTAGCAATATACAACCTGAAAAAATGACAGTCTGGGAGATTTTTTTCTAATGACAAATATTTTAATTAGCATCTGCAAAGTTATAGTAATCTTCTTTGGAGTTTAATACGATGTTTAATTTGGTCTTTTCTAAAAACAGTTACGACAGTAAAGTGAGTAAAGTGGTTAAGAATGGTCTGACAAACATAATTTTCCTAACAAAAACATAATTTTTAAAATATAGCTGCGAACTATCTACGTACTAAATCTTTCAACAAATTGTCAATCCCAACAATGATAAAATTTCAAAGAACATTTGCAGGACATATGAGTTAAACTGAAGTGACCATCAGTGTTTAAAATATGACAAATGATTTATCAGAGTTATTGCTTTTGTTATTAAGATAATTGCAGGGTGGCACCTGTGGCCTCAAAGGAGTAAGGTGCCAGCCCCCTATGCCAGAGGTGGCGGGTTCAAATCCAGCCCCGGCCAAAAACTGCAAAAAAAAGATAATTGGATAATTTCTTAAAATAGTTAACCCAAATATTTATGTGTAAAGTAATTCTACCTTCTGGGTGATAAAATGCAAAGGGGCACTTTCTAATAATTATTATTAATAATATGTACAACATGTTCACACTGTGTGTAACTTCAAAACCAAAGGACACATAAATTGCTCACAGGATTTTTACCAGCCAGGTGGATGCCTGATATCATTAAACATACTTTAAAAGAATATTTACCCTTGTCATGTACATTTTAAAATTTCTCAAATTAATTATTTTATTAACAAGAAGACAGGCTAAAA